GTTTGGCTGATGAAGCCTTTTAAGCAAACACCTACATTAACTGAGAGCCAATTGTGTTTCAATCGTGCCCTCAGCCAAGCCCGAGTAGTTATAGAACAAGCTTTCGGGATTTTGAAAGGTCGTTGGAGGTGTCTCTATAAACCACTGGAGGAAAAAACAAGCAGAGTCCCTGCCACTATCATAGCTTGTTGTGTCCTTCGCAATATTTGTATAGATGTTGGAGATCCGAGTGCTATAGACCCCATTGAGGATGACGATGAAATGGATCAAAGTTCTTGCAATGGAGATGAGCAGTCTGACGCAAGGGGCATTCGAGAAGATATTATGAACTATTTATCATAGTCAAAACATTAAACCAAAGTTACTATTTTTATTGGAATCTTTCGGGTTAAGTTGAAACCACACACGTGATAAATTCACTGAAATCAATGTTTTGAGATTGAAATTGTGTCCCTTTCCATTGGTCACATGTGTAATTGAAAATAATAAGCATAATAAATAATTACAAACAAGAACCTCTGTGAGGTTCTTGTTTGTAATTAACTAGACCTGCGCTTCCAGCTCACGCTTATATTTGCATTAAAATGCCCGCAATGATACCATGCAACCGTGTGCATATGATAATAATGGAAAATAGAGAACGTCTTGTTATCACCCCGGGTGCTGGAAATCTTAGAGTCAATTCGACAGTGGAGCGTGTGGCACCGATAGAAGGGCCAGTAGATGTTTTGTCAGTAGTTGTCAGATGACGATTGATGGTGACTAGCTCAGTAAACTCCACTACAACAATGTTATCTTGTAATATGTTTATTGCTCCTTTGGCAGTTCCTTACTATACAATGTTAAGTCAAATTCAGTAACTTATTTGATAAAAACTCACAACGTTTATCATTCTTAAAAATCAAGGATCTCCAGGAAGGAGATTAATTAACACTAAAATCTTCCTCTCAAAATGAGTTTCAGGATATTGCTCAATATGTATGTAAATAATGGTGTTATATTACAGAAATATGAATGTAATTAATTTAACAACACTAAACGAAATGCTTAATACGAGTTAGCAGTAAAAAATGAATTATCTATTATAACATTCGTTTACGACAGCTTGAGATAAAATCCAATGTTATTCGAATTGCTTTAGAATAGATGACGGCTGCCCAAACAACAGAGTATATTGTAATGATGCGTTTCCTAAAGATGACTCTTACTTTTCAATTCCTAGATAATAGCGGAAGAGCGGAACTCTCTTCTGACAGGCAAACAACGATCATAAATCTTAATTCAACATAGACATTTTTGCAAATTGTCAATTTTATAATTTTATGTTCTGCTTTAAAGGGACACTGTCACAAGCATCGCTTCAAAAATGCAAGAGTGCAAAAACACATTTTACAGCAACAGGAACCTACAAATACTGGTTCAGTTTTGATAAAAGTAACAATGCCATTACAATGAAGCTGAAAAAAAGTTTTATCATTGTGATAAAACCAGGAACTCAAGATATGAACTTGAAAAAGTCAGCCTGATTTTTTCAAGTTCTGTCACCGTGACAGTGTTGCTTTAAACTGCAAACTATACTTTACTAGTGAGATACCGTTTTGCGGACGCATATTAATACCTCTTACATATATCTTCATAATAATATCTCCTACAATATATCCTAGTATTATGAACTTCTGATCTTACATATGTGCTATGTCAAATGGTAAAAGCATTAAAAATTTGGCTAGTATAGGTTTTAATCATGTTATTGGCTAGTTTTTCCGTTTAGAGAAAGAAAGTTACATTGTATTTACAAATTTTCAACACAGTATTATATTCTCTTTAATCTCAGCCTCGGGTTTATGCTTAAAATATTCTTAAAATTTTGCAAATTTTAGCCTCGGTGTTACGTTAAAATAAGATGTTCATTTATCCTTTGGTTCTGGTTCGGCGGCCTCCATGGTTAAGTAAAACTGGCGCTGGGGCTCCAGGATGAAGGCGGCTATTTGTTGCAGGTCTTCCAGTTTGGCTGGGACCACCTTCAAACGAGCAGGATAGAGGCGGCCGGGTGTTTGGTTGGCATCTGTTTGGTGTCTGCGGCGCTGGATGTTTACCTTTTTTTCCAGGGTTCATCTGTGGAAAACCCACACCTTACCCAAACTTCGTCTGGATGGTGGACCATTTGGGTTTGCCCAGTGATAGGATCTTTCTCCTCTCCCCAACCAAAGTTTAACCAATGCGCGTCGAGGATTCTGACGCGCTTCCCATCCCGGTCCTTCGCTATTGGTTGGTACCTAGCAAGAATATTAATAATGGTTAAGTGATATGAAATATAAAAAGATCCATATGAGTCCTATTCTACAAGGTTTCCAAAGTTCATTGCGGCTTCATGGTTTTAAAAACAAGCATTGCGTGCCTTATTTTTATTTAGCTTACTTTAAATACAGGAAGTAGATGATATATTCAAAAAATTTTAGTGGAAATATCAGGAGAATTAACTAATGATTTTCTTGTAGCACACCGCGAATATCGCACCCTTGAACTTTCACCCCCCCCCCCCCACCCCCCTAATCTTTATAAGGCTTAGGTGCAAAAACAAGCTATTACCGGGATTTTTTACGGTAGGCCACTCTATAACTTGTACATACATATTGACGCAATAAAACGGGGGTGCATATCTGGTGACCTCATACCAGAAATGCACGTGGATTACTATCTGATTAATTGTCTATGTACCTGGATTCCAAGAAGGACCTCCAGTCTTTGAAGTCAGGCTGCCTCATTTCGCGTACCACGAACGGTTTCACTGTATTCGCCTCTCTGATGACTTTACACCAGTCCTCTGGTAAGTACACCACCGCGCTTTTCCTTCTCTTCTCGATCTGGCTAAAGTCTGTGTCATTTTGAAGGAACGTGTGGCCCCTCACGAGGTACTTGTGGTTAAGTACCTCGTAAACGCCCTTGCGGTGTAGCTCAGTGTAGAGGGCAACCATCGTCTTGTTTCTGTTCTGACCCGAACAGCCATCGGAGTAGCTTACGAGCGACCTATAAAGACAGAATAAAATAATATGGTGTTATAGTGAGACCTGTCTCTAACAATGACTGGGGACCAGGTGAATTTGTTCGCGAAATTGAGGGTTCACCTTGTCGGAAACCTCGATATAACGGGAAAACTACACTTATCATACTTGGCTCGCCGCTTAGAAATTTGGAATTCCCTAACAGCAGATGATTTCGTAAGTTATTAGTTGAGCGTGTATTTGATGCAGATTACAGATCCACTTTATCACTGTATTTATTCCGTTACACACCGCGGCGTTTATTAAATTATTCTTCCTTCGAGTTCCGCCTTTATTCGGGGGTGCAGTTTATTTAAAATCCAATTTGTTTTTTGCAAAGAATAGTATGTTAACTGAATATTTGATTTAAAAAAAAAAAAAAACCATGTTTCGTATATTGTTCTCGTGTTTCGATTTTCAAATGTACTGATCTTAAAACGTTGTTACATTGAAGAAACATAAATTTTGTAGGCTCGCACAAACTCGATTATATGTTGCTGTATTTGCTTTTTGATGATGCGGTGTTTATTCGAGGGTGGCGTTTATTATGATAATCATTTCTGCTCCAAACTGCGGCGTTTATTCGAGGACGGTTTTTAATCGAATAAATATGGTAATCACTTTATTTATTGCACGGGCGATCACGGAACTGTTTTGTTGCAGATTGAACACTTATGGCGTTGCTCCGCTTTTTAACAAACATAGGTTTCTTTTCTAAGTAAAGTTTTATCAAATTCTTTCAAAGCACCTTAGAGATATATACTAGAATGCTGTTGTGATCACTCGTGTGAAACGTCGCTTCAAACTTTTAAATTTGAAAATCAAACATGCAGGGTTCAAGGTTTACGCTAAGATGCAACCGACCAATGTTCCGAAATACAAAAAACTAAAACTTACCTCGCTCCAGTGTTAAACTCAGTGAGGAAATCATACAGGCAATTTGCCACCTCCACTGACCCACGTTTGGCTGTCGTCTCGTCCCACATAAACATATAGCCCTGGTTGGACACGCAATCGTGGATACCAAAGTTGTAGGTCCACAGCTGCCTCTTATAAAACGTATCGTTATGCTGTAAGTTTGGGGTCTCCAGATTTTGTTGAAAATCATAAGTTATCATGTCTAGGGCATCTTTACTGCAGTGGTTTACTCCTGAAGAGCAAACTCGACGGGGCTTTCCAACCCAGCTCCTCACCGCGCGTGCCTTGTCGTCTTTACGCATTGTAAATGCAGATTCGGCAAGTTTGTGATGTTCCTCGAGTTCTTTTTCAAGTTTTTCTTTTTCCGCGCCTTTGGATGATCGCACTATAAGGGCCAGTTTATCGCAGGTGGTGCAAGTGTCGGTGCGAGGTAGTGCGAAGCCCAGGTTGAATTCTCCATTGAAGATGTCCCTGTATGTGTGTAGTAGGATGTGGGCTTTCAGTTTCGGTGGAATTGGTGTTGTGTTTTCCTGCTGACATCTAAGGAAATAAAATGGTTCTCTATTATCACAGCGCCGAAAGAAATGCGTTTAGTGCGTTTAGTAGAGATGTAGAAACTACCGCAAACTGATGTCTTCAATACCTGTCGACATTGTCCTTTATTATAAAAAGTTTACACTTAAGTTTTCAAATTTGCCATTGGCAGTCCTTGTGAACTTTTTGTATTTTACAATTTCCTTTTTTTTTCCTCGGTGTATTTATTACCTAAGACCTTAAAACTCATTTAACTGTTGGTTTGTTTTGAGCTATTACAGTTACCTTATAATTTCGCATTCCCTTTCAAGAACAGCTGGCTCGTTCATATCTAAGTAATTGTAGTACATTCTCTGTACTGACCATCCTGGTTCCAGATACTCTCTGTCAGGGTTGTCTTTGCGGGAATAATGGGATGTTTGTCGAGGAAAGGAACTGATGTGGGCTCTGACCTATACAAAAGAACATACGTTAGAATCAATCCTGCGACATACATACAAACCCCAACCCCTTCCCTGTTTTCTTGACTTTACAAAATAATTAAAAAAAAAATAAAAAAAAAACATCCAAATCAAGAAAAAATTATCAGAGCCATCGTTGTAATTTTGTGGTTGCGGTTGCCATGGCAACGTTGACAGGCATGGGCAAACTTTGAAATATGAAAAATCGGCAGCATAGAATTAATTCGCGTTTCAAAATTTCCAAAAATATCTGTGTTGCATCCACCCCAGCCCCACTAAAAATTGATAGTGAATAACCTAATTGTTTTAGTATAAATCTACTAGTTAGTGCAAAACTGAGCACAATGAAATTACTCAAATCCCCTTCAGACACTGAAGGAGAACTTGCGTACTATCTGCACTGTTTTAAAAGTACCGTGTTTTATTAGAAATCCGCGAATCTGAATGATTCTCTTATTGTCGTCTATTTAAAAAATAGAGTGTTTCTGTCGTGGAAGTATATCGGCTGAAGTTGCCCAATGGAAATTTGATGTTTTTAAAACAAATGTTTGCCCGAGAAGCGAAGCTTCAAGGGAAAATATGCTAGTTTTAAGAACATCAAGCTTCCAAGGGGCAACTATCAGACCGATAGTTCTGAGACACACCACTTAATTTTGTTCCGCGCTCATTCAAAAACAAGTATCTTGAATTATTTTTTAACTTTTCAGGACGAAAGACTTGAAAGCCGAAATGTTACAAATAAAATGAGACGAGAAACCCACTGAATATAACAATCGAAGCAAAACTAGACAAGAAACCCACTAAAATACCCGCTTGATTACAACATAATTATAGGACGGGTACTATCCGACCGGGGATTTTCCTAGGACGGACACTTCAGGCTGATAGTGTCCCTCCATGCATGGAAACTATCGCGCCATGCGAGCAATTTAAACCAATCAGAATAGTGGTGAACTATAATTGTCTATAGAAAACTGTCGCGCTCGTATAGGTCTTTAATCGACAGATTTTCTTTATCTTTTGGCTTAAAAATACATAATATTGTAGGTTTTGGACTGGAATCTAAACCAATCAGACTACCCGCCCTCGTTTTCTATGAGTGATAGTCAATTTGGCTGCGCCTGGTTCACTATTTAAATAATAGTGTTTTGTCGAGGAACTATCGGCTGATAGTTGGCCCGCACAAATTTGATGTTCTTAAAACAAATGTTTTCGCTTTGAGGGCAAATATGCTAGTTTTAAGAACATCAAATTTCCTAGGGGTAAGAATCAGACTGATAGTTCCGAGACAGAAACACTCTATTGTCTTTAGTGTTCACCACTCAATTTTCTTCTGTGCGCGCTCATTCAAAAACGAGGATCTTCGATAACTTTTTTTAACTTTTCAAGATGAAAGACTTTCAAGCCGAAATGTTTCAAATTAAACAAAACCAGTCGAAAAACTCACTGAATTTAACAAGCGAAACAAAACCAGGCAAAACTGACTAAAATGACCATTTGCTTTACAAAATATTTCTTGGATGGGCACTATCCATCCGGGCGTTTTCCACGGATGCATAGTATGGGCTGATAGTGCCGCCCGCGGGCGGGCACTATTGCGTCACGTGAGCAATTTAAACCAATCAAAATCGGAAAAAATTTAGTGGTGAACTATAATCACTCATAGTAAACTCGGACTCGAAGTCTCATTGTCAAAAAGATAATAACATGTTACCTTGTCTTTATATTCCTCAAGGACCTTATTCGGTCGATTTCCATGGTGCCCACGCAGATCTATGGGACAGGCTCTTGATTGTATTGTTTGTACACGCCGCTTGGTGATACCGTAAATGGACATAAATGCCTCTTTGCAGACCTAAGTAACAAATACAGAATAAATGAATTGATACATAGGCGACTTGTCAGAATTTTGCAGCACATGCATTTATGTCAATTCCCACAAAAAACTCATATATGTTCATAAGCCTTCTACCTATATTGGCTTAAACTCTTTTCGCAAATGTCTAGGTTTTTAAATTAATGAGCTCCCAGTGTGTCTAATGCAATTTTTCGTTTATACAATACAAACCCCAAACATCTACAGTGGTGATAAAATCTAACTGCAATAAACTTCAACGTTAACAAAACTTTCAGCGTACCTTTGTCCAACACATATCCGATGTTTAGACATAATAGTCGTAGGATCGAAAATATAATTCACTTGGGTTTAAAAGTTACAAAAGCTTTCTGATGTTAAAGTTTTTTACATACTTTTTTTGCTAAAAATCGTCAAAAACAAATAACTTTTGTATTTTAAAAGATGCCTAGAATTTAATTTGAAATGTGTATAATAATTTCATTTCCCAAAATTGATCAACAGATATTGTAATTTCCAAAATCAGTTTTAAATACTTGCAGAAACAATTGCAATAATTTTTGCCTTCTTTATATTCATCATGTCTGGAATCATTGTCCTGCTACATATATAGTTGTCTTGATCCAACATTTTGTCATGATACATAAAATCACAGTTCATAACTGAAACGAATAAAATGTTCTAATAAAACAAGTAAAGTACTTTAATCTTTCCCATTGGCAATGTCCTTAAAAATGTTTCCAAGCGTCTTCAAAGCATCCATCAAAAACTTTTGTTGTTCTCCTCTTCTTTCCCTCTCGGCTTCTGCCAT